AAAAAAGAAATTTTAAATAGTTAGTTTGGTACTAATATCAATTTTTTTTCAATTTTTTTTTATCATATCTTCATTTTTATATTTTATTTAAAAATAAAAAAATATTGCACTTTCTCAAAACCACATAAAATCATATTATAACATCGATTGAGACAAAAAAACGAAACATTAAAATCGAGATTTATCTCGCTACATTATATGTGTACCATTCTAGTATATATTTATACATATATAATCAATTCGAACTCTTTTAATCAATATATGATTTTATTTTTATTTTTTTTACCATCTTATTTGATTATTAGTTAATATATTATATCACTTGAAATTTCTTTCAATTATATTTTGAAATATTATAATTGATTAATTTTTTAATATTATGTTTTTGAGTATTTTACATTCTTATTAACTAGTTTTGACAAACATGATTTGTTCATTAGCTAGTTTATAAACTACCAGCTAGTTTTCTAAATATTAAAAATGAAATTAATCTACCAATATAATATCAATGCTTTTTTATTTATTGAATTTGGTCACGATTATTCCTAGAACACAAATAATTAAGACGATACATTATTAGCTAAATTCATTGCGTTTTCCTTCTAAACATCGATCGTCTTGCTACATAATTATGTGTTCTAGAAAACCGATGAAAACGACGACGAATTATTGCCTAATTTATCAAGAATGTTACTCCAGTAACTCGTTTCCTCTTCGAAATCATCGTCACGGTTTTCGCCCCTGGCATCGTTACCAAGACAATTCGTGAGCGTAACCGCATCCGTCAAGTAACCATGTTCCGATATCATGTTACTCACTCCAAACTCGTTTTGATTTCCTTCATCTTTTAAGGTCTCCGGGACGTTGGATGGAATTTTTGGGATTTTCCAGTTGGTCGTGGGATCTTCGGTGGTCATATCGTTAAGAGACAACGGTTCGACATTCTCAACATGATTCAAAATTGGCATGAATTGTGATAGGTCATTTATACCTTGCCATGCTTTTAGCACATCGAAATATAGTGGTTGTTGTGGTGAGATCGAAGACACGAATGAGTTGTTGGTAGCGGGAGGCGACCGGCCATGATGGATTCGTTGATAAAAGTTGGGAACACGCCTAGGTCCATGAACGAGTCGAGCTTCTGCTTCAAGACGAGCGTTCTCCCATTGTGTCATATGGGACAGGTTGGCGTTGCCGGCGGTTCTTGACTTGTGGGTGATTGGATCGATACCCATCTTGGTTAATCGTTTTTTGAGATGAGTGTTCCAGTAATTCTTAATCTCGTTATCTGTTCTTTTCGGTAAATGAGTTGCAATAGCTGACCATCTGAATCAAGTATCTCGTTATATCACTACGCATTCTTAGATATAAACAAATAGGAAAGGGTTCAAACGAAAATACATTCAGTTTATGAGAACGCGGGAACATCTTTTTACTATAGACAATCACATGTGATACTATATTCAATCACAAATAATACAAATATGATATTATATCATAGATGTGGACAACTTTTGGTGCGATCTAGGATGCAGGTTAAGTCGTCCTTACACCACTACACCCCCTCCCATATGTTATCACATGTGATAAAGACGTTATTGATATGATACCATAATCCATCACATGTGATGTTAAATCATAGATGCATATGACCTTTGGTGCGACCTAAGTCCCAGGACACATCGTCGGCACACCACCAGTTCCTCTTACGTGTATTATCACATGTGATAAGGCTGTTTTCACGTTATCGTAAAATGGAAGTGCTCTTGTTTGAAGCTCCACCTACATATGTATATACTTAAAAGTATGTAACATAAAAGATTTTTTGGTGAAAAGCGTGATAAGTCGTTAAAAATATTCTTATATTGTGTGAAAGTTACGTTATATTTTGTGAAAGGTGCGTTGTGTTAAGTGAATGTCACATTTCTCACGAAAAAAATGGTATTTCTCACGGAAACTTAACCCTTTAAAAATGATCAAGGATGCAGATCTCTTCTTACGCTTCTCATCTTAACTCTTATTTTCACACAATACTTCGTATGTGTGTGTGTGTGTATATATATATATGTATATATATATGTTTGTGTATGTATAAGGTTGGGTTTTCGTGAGACCCCCTTATTTTTATGTGACATGTGATACCACAAAATTACCCTGAATGCTCATAGTAAAACACTTTGAAGGTACAAAAAACACCGAACTTTCACACCAAAAATATTGTGAAGATGTACAGTCACAGTGTTAATTTAGATGGTCTATGGATCTTACAAAAACATGCTAGCCTCACATGATACCCCATATATATATATATATATATATATATATATATATATATATATTGGTTGTATATATAATTTGTTGGTTCCACTTCCTTGACTCTCCATACATTTATAAAGTGAGTGCCCACAATATATATATGTTGGTTGGTTGTATATATAATTTGTTGGTTCCACTTGTTTCAGTCTCCATGTATTTATAAGTGAGTTCCCACCACGTCCGCTTGGATTCTCAAATTAATTAAAGCCATTCTACTTCAATAATACACACAACACACACATACACATACACATACATACATACATATATATATATATATATATATATATATATATATATATATCGAAGGTTTACTTTGCAAACCACATTATTTATATAAATCGTACAAACTCCATCAAACCAATCATATATATTTTTTATTTTTTTTCTAGTTACAAAAGATTGATTAGTCATTTTTATTGTGAAAAATGTGTTAATTATGGATATTATCATCTTCATTATGTTAATTTGATAAACATACATGAAACAATTTCATTAAAACATAGAAACAAACATATATGAAACAAAAGTATTATATGAAATAATTTCATAAAATTAAAACAATTTCATTAAATTAAACAATCAACAAATAAAGATGGTTTACATAATTTATACAAATATGTATGGTTTGCATTTGACCGTTCCCATATATATATATATATATATATATATATATATATATATATATATATATATAAACGATAATGTAGTTTGCTTGTTTCTTAAAAGTGGAATAACCCTCGAAATAACAAAAATAGAAAGCATATATATATATATATATATATATATATATAGATAGATTACCTATTGCCAATAAGGGCATGAAGTTGAATGATGGTTTGTTCTTCTTGCATGCTAAACTTTCCTCTTTTAATATCTGGTCTCAAATAGTTCGTCCACCTCAGTCTACAACTCTTTCCACATCTCTGTAACCCTGCAACCATTTTCAACTGTTAAAACATATATAAACAAAATAGTACGTATTACGTATGAATAATCCAAGTTATCCGTAAGTCTACAGTGTGTGTACTTACCAGCCTTAAGCGGCAACGCACGCCAACTTCCGTGGCCATTTTGTTCGATATAACTGACAAGCTTTTGATCTTCTTCGGTCGTCCATGGCCCTTTCTTCAGCCCCTTCACAAAACTTGGTGATCTTCCCATTCTTTGCTTTTTATATGTCAAAATTCTGAAGTGGGTTTTCATGGAAATGGAAAGTGAGAACATATATAATGGAGGTAGACCTAGAAATGAAGATGATGATAAGGTTTTGAGCTAGGGTTTAGGCCATTAAATGATGAAATCAGACATATATATTTTTGTACTATTTTTTTTTATTGTTTTCATGAGACAATAACTGTATATATGCTGACATATATAAATGTTGGAGATACCCATATTTTCAGACACAATTTATGGCTGAAGGAAATATACATACATGTGCTTATTGGGTGTTTATATTTCATGCAACAAATGATCCCTACCATTTTTGGAGTTGATGGGGCATTTCATCAAATGGTTGGTGTGCATTTCATAATACCTATAGATTCTCAATGCATTACTTTAATTAATGGAATCTTTTGCATTGTATCACACCATGTCCTCCTCTGGGGGACCTTTTTTTTTTTTTTTTTTTTTTTTTTTTTTTTTTAAGCCCGACTAATCCCCGGCAATTTTGGAGGCTAAACATGAGATTTCTAAGATATCATTATCTTTGCAAGTGGCACCACCTCA